ATATTTAGCGGGTCAAATGGACCCTGACTTTTGTGTGAAAAATGGCAAAATTTGTATTCTATGGCATATATATTTACTCCTGGAGGATGTAGACCCCAGGAGTTGATAGCATATCCAAGAGGAGTGGTTGGCCTTTAAATTGATACCAAATATAGTGATGTATCTACTCAGATGTGGGAGTTACAGTCAAATATTTACAGGTGCTTACGTATTCAGATTATATTTAATAACCCATTACCACATTAGAGGGAGAAATATCGCGCTGATGGCTTTGAAATTTTTCATGAAGTTCCAGATATAGTCAAGAACAACGCCTACAATTTTCGGTGATGATCAGGATACAATTTTGGGATGAAATGGACGGAAAACATAATTTTTTGTGTGTTTTCGAGTAGAGTATAATCCGAAAATCACAACACAACCCACCGTGAAGGTAATCTGGACAAGTAATTAGAAGGACTGTACTGAATATTCGAAAAAAAGTAAGAAAGAGGTGTTGTTGACCTCTAATCGGACAACAGGGGGCAAATATCACGAAATACTACTCAGACTCAGAATAAACATCCTCAGAAAGTTATAGTTCGTGGTAGTTGTGTAGGGTATCGTATGGTCGGCCCCGTCCGACTATACTGCTCCGCTCACTGGTTACTTTATAGGATCGGAAATTAATATTTCGATGAGTTATAAATGGAATGACAAAATTTATATACCCTCCATACTATGGTGGAGGGTATAAAAAAGTCCGAAAATGGAACGGCAGGTATTAAAACCAACACACAACAACCTCAGATGTCTAACTTTCTGGGGAGTGGGAATATTTCCCGATATTTGCACCCTCTTGTCAAATTAGAGGTCATTAGTTCTTCTTCCTTATCCTGGCATATTTTTATGTCTAGTTTTTACTGAATGTTATGAAACAGCTCTTTTAATTAGTTGGACAGGTTCATGCGTTATGTTGTAATGATTCGTCCCTTCCATTTTCGTCCCATTTATCTGATCTCCGCCGAACCTCTAAACGTCGTCCTTGACCATAACTGGAATTTAATTTGTTGATGTTCGGGTCATAATTGTGGCTTCTAAAGCATCCAGAAATACAGATAATTTTTGTCCGTTTCATCCTCTAAATATTAGCCGATCATTACCAATAATAGGTCTATTCATTGGCCAGAACCTGTCCTACATGCAAAATTTCGTTCCGATTGGTACATAACTGTGGCCTGTGTATTGTTTACAAATTATAATGGACAGACGGACGGATACACATGGCTAGATCGATTCAGCTAGTCGAGATATGACGATTGGTATATAAAAAGGTGGGTCCAGGACCAATTTTTTGCAGCGATACAAATAATACATATATAATACCCTGATAACATAGTTCATAAATATATCCCCCAGCTTCTGGATACCCACGTTTCTTCCAACTGCTTAAGTTCCATATTAGAAATGCATAGAATGCTCCCAGAGCACCAATAAAGAGACTCAGTGTCACGAGCCAAGAATCCATAATCACTTGTTGGGATTTTTCGACGTAAATTAATAACAAAAACAACACACGCGACGCAATTGCAATTTATTCAAATGAAAACAATGCGTTTGTTCAATTAAATAACCGGCAACCTCAGACACTTTATATGAAATGAATGCTGCACCCTGAATTTATGGATCTATTTAAATACATCTCTCATCTGTTGGGGTGACACCGAATTTGTACTCTCCTATCTGGTTTATTATTCTCTTCAATTCAAATTGAATGAAATGTGACGCACATAATGTATGTGGGGTATTCCGTTATCAGCTAATGTTATTTAATGACTAACCTTAAGGTTACGACTTCTGGACTATGTGTACAAAGCATATCTGTTTTTGCAGAATATTTCTATTTATTTTTGTTTGGCATTTTTCACATCGGATATTCCAATTTATTTGGATCAAACCACGTTTAGAAAATTTCGAAATGTCTGTTTGGATTGCTGGGTAGTGCGTCCAATAACTCTCGAAGGGTGCAATCGATTTTTATTAAAATTGTGCATATCACCACATTTAATCATTTAATCTTTATATTAAAATCATTGGTTCAATATGAAATTTTTCATTGTATATCCAACTCATGATGGAGGGTAGGAAAATTCCGGCCAGGACGAACGAACATAACTCGTTTGTTTTAAACCGATCCAAGTTTACTTCCGTTTACAATACCTCAAATATTGGCCTTAGACCCGATAAAGTACAAATGTATATTCCTGATCAAAATAAAAATCCTTTGTCGATTTAGCCAAATCCACCCGTCTGTTAAAATTATGATAGAGCTCGCAATATTTATACCCTTCACCACACTGTGGTACAGGGTATTATGTGTTTGTGCATATGTGTGTAACAGGCAAAAGAAAACGGGATAGACACATGGTTCCTTTTGAGAATATGCATAGAATCACTTTCTGAGTCGATTTATGCATGTCCGTCCGTCTGTCCGTCTGTTGATGTTAAATTGTAAACAAAGTACAGGTCGCATTTATAATCCGATTTGGATGAAATTTGGCACAAGTCACTTATTTGGCCCAAGGACGAACCCTATTGAAATTGGGAAAAATCGGTTCAGATTTAGATATAGCTCCCATATATAGTTTCGTCCGATTTAAGGTAAATAGTGCACCAAAGTCCTTCGATTTGCATGAAATTTGGCACAGAGTACTGAATTAGGACAGAATGATGTGTGCCAAGTTTCGAGAAATTCGGGTCAGATTTAGATATAGCTCCCGTATATATTTTTGTCCGATTTAAGGTAAACGAGGCACCAAAGTCCCTCTATATCTTTCGATTTGCATGAAATTTGGCATAAAGTACTGAATTAGGTCAAGAATTATGTGTGCCAAGTTTCGAGAAAATTGGGTCAGATTTATATATAGCTCCCATATATATTTTCGTCCGATTTAAAGTATCTTTCGATTTGCACGAAATTTGGCATAGGGAACTGAATTGGATCCAGAATAATGTGTGCTAATATATATTTTCGTCCGATTTAATGTAAATTGTGCACTAAAGAACCAAAGATTGGCCGACCCGCACACAATTTTGCACAATGTACTGACGTTACTATAACCTTGTGTGTGTCAAGTTTTCTTGAAATTGGTTCAGATTTGCATATAGCTCTTATATATACTTTCGTCCGATTTTAAGTAAATGGTGTACTAAAGACTCATAGCTATGCCGATTGGCAAAACGTACTGAAATTAGTATAAATTCATGTTGATTGTAAACCAGTAGTAAACTGGTACGTAGTAAATTTTCACACTTAAAATTATTAATATTGACCCACTTCTTATGGTAGGCCCCATATAACGATACATCCCGAATTTCGGTATTTTTAGGCATGTGGTTTTTAACCAAATCGTCGGTAATTTAATAATTTGGGTTCTCAATGAGTAGAAAACCTCCCTATCAAAAACAAGTGAGCGATATCCTACACAAATCACTCGGAACTCTAACTTTCTGCGAATGTTTACTCCGAGCCTGGGCAATATTTCGTGATATTTACACCCTCTTTCCCGATTAGAGGTCAAAAACACCTCTTCCTTACACTGACATATTTTCCGAATATTACCAATATTGAGTACAGCCTTTGTAATTAATTGTTCAGATTCCCTTGTTGTGTTTCGATGTTCGGCTTATAATTGTGACCTATAGATAGACTCGAAAAAGCTCAAAAAATTAAGTTTTCGGTCCACTTCATCCCAATATTATAATAGGAACCTTATGGAAATTTTCAAAGCGATCAGCGCTATATTTCTGTCCTCTAGTGTGCTAATGGGTTACTAAATAAAATCTGAGTACATAAGCACCTGTAAATATTTAAGTGTAACTCCCACATCCGAGTACAAATGATAATATAGTTTGTATCAAATTTAAAGGTCAACCACTCCTCTTAGGTGTACTGTCAACTTCTCGGGTCTATTTCCTTCAGTAGTAAATATATACGCCATAGAATACAAATTTTGACCCGCTACATATTGCTCTTTATCAAAACCGCTCTTTATCAAAACCGGCATGCTTATTCTTTGGCCCGATCCCTTCTGCATGTAATATTTCGCGATTTTCGGGCCTTAATTGCGGTCCCTGGAGCAACCAGAAAAAACGACAAAAATTAAGTTTTTGGTCCATTTCATCCTCTAAATATTTACGGACCTTTACCGATAACAATAGGGATCTTCATTGGGCAGAACCCATCCTACATGCAAAATGTCATGAAGATTGGTCCATAACTGTGTATCGTGTTTACAAATTATAATGGAATGGATCGTTTATCCAAAAGGAGTGGTTCACCTTTAAATTGATACCAATTATATGGTCGTATATATTCAGATGTGGGAGTTACACTTAAATATTTACGGGTGCTTAGTAACCCATTACCACACTAGAGGACGGAAATGTAGCTTTGATCGCTTTGAAATTTTCTATGAGGATCCATGTATGGTCAAGGACAACGCCTATATTTTCGGTGATGATCGGATAACGATTTTGGGATGAACTGGGCCGAGAACTTAATTGTTTGTATTATTTCGAGTCGATCTATAGGCCACAATAGAAAGCCGAACATCGCAACACAACCAACGGTGAAAGGAATATGACCAAGAAATTAGAAGGGTTGTACTGCATATTAGTAATATTGCTTGACCTCTAATCGGCCAAGAGTGTGCAAATATCGCAAATATTGCACATATAATTTATTTGCCCCAAGGATGAACCCTATTGAAACTGATGATAATCGTTTCAGATTTAGATATAGCTCCCATATGTATTTTCGTCCAATTTTTATCAAATGGTGCATCAAAGGGTCAAATGTAGTCCAATTTGCAAGAAAATTTTGCACAACATACTGAAGTTAGGATAGCCTAACGTGTACCAACAACCGACGACTTAGAATTTTACCGCACATAAAAGAGTATTGTTGTCAAAATGTGTATTATTGAATATATTATTTAATTTTTTTATTATTTAATAAATTAGTTAATTGGTGTAAAATCCAACCAAATGCCACCATCCAAAACGGCAACAATTTCATGTTTATCTAATAAATTGTCGTTGCTAGTTTTTGAATTTACTTTCACATGGAAATTTCTTATAATTTCCACAATAGCTGCCTTAGCTTGGGTAGCACCAAAACGCATTCCTTAAAAAACATTTAAAAAATAATAATTCATATATATTAATTTCTTTTTAAGTTCTATAAATAATTTCTTACCCATGCAAATTCGTGGCCCATCACCAAAACCTAAATATTTGCCCTCCTCTCTAAATTTCTTGACACCACCATTTTCGGGTAAAAATCTCTCCGGTATATATTCTTCGGGATTCTTATAATATCGCTCGTCATGATGTATGCTACGATATGATATAAAAACGATTTCACCCTTTTTCATTTGGAAAGATGTTCCATCGGAATTTACAAATGTATATGGTTGGGTGCACAGTTTTGTATTTGCGGATAATGGGGAGAATAGACGAATGGCCTCTATAAACGTGAGGAACGGAGTTAGGTGATTAATAATAAGGAATGTTGCATTCAGATTATAACTATTAATAACATAAACCTTCCCCCCTCGTATTTAATATTTTCCGTAAATACCTACCATTAAAGCAAGCATCCAAGTATGGCATCTCCGAAAGACTTTCAAAACTTACAAAACCCTCCTCATTAATGTTGCTCAGAATTTCCTCACGTAATTTCTCTTGGGCCCTGGGATTTCTAGCCAACTGAAGAAAAAAATTAATATTTACAAAAAATTCGACCTCTAACCTCAATTTCATTACACTTACCCCCAACAAACAATGAGCGATACTTTGCGATGTTGTCAAAAATCCATCCGTCAAGAATGTCATTGCATGTGCCGTTAAAATTAAATTATTATAATTTTTCTTCTCCTTTAATTGTAGCAAAAAATTCAAAAAATCTGCACGCTGGCTATGGCCTTCTTTTTGTCGCAGTGCAATTGAATCGGACATTAAATTCAAGAAATATTGAGCATTAGTTGTGGTAAAGAATTTCGTTTTTAGTATCTTCTTGAGGCTGGGAATAAACGCAATAGCGATTTGATACATAATCTGCGATGGTGTTAAATGGAATAGATTTTTGATTCTGTCAAGAAAACTGGACGGTTCATTGTTCAATGTTCCAACATGAATTCCCAAGACACAATCACTCACCACTTCTGTGGTGTAACGCAGAAATAGCTAATGGGAGAAATGTAATTGGAAATTTTAAAAATTATTAGATACTTATTTTTAGGAAAGCTGATTGCAACATGTTCTGCAACAACTCTATTTACCTCATAGGCTCCAATACCATTGTTGTTCTGTTCTCCAGCCTGTTGCCTTATGAAATCTGTTAAACGTTTACATATCTCCAGTGTTACGGGATAGACATTTTTTATCTGCAAATTTGGAATAAATAATTAAAACCAGTGAGTGGAGCAGTATAGTCGGACGGGGCCGACCATACGATACCCTACACAACTACCACGGAACTCGGATGTTTATTCCGAGCCTGGGCAATATTTCGTGATATTTACCCCGACTTGCGCGATTAGAAGTCAACAGCATGAACATGTAAGGAAGATGTCCTTACATGTTCCGAATATTACAAATATTCAGTACAGCCCGTCTACTTACTTGCCCAGATTCCCTTCACGGTGGGTTGAGTTGTGATGTTCGGCTTATATTCGACTAGAAAACACACAGAAAGAAATTAAGTTTTCGGTCCACTCATCCCAAAATGTTATTCTGATCATCACCGAAAATTATAGGCGTTGACCATAATATTTCCGCCCTCTAATATGGTAATGGGTTACTAAATAATATCTAAATACGTAAGCACCTGTAAATATTTAAGTGTAACTCCCATATCCGAATAGATACATACAATATATTTGGTATCAATTTAAAGGGTTACCACTCCTCTTTGATATACTATCAACTTATCGGCTCTATATCCTTCAGGAGTAAATATATAAGCCAAATTTTGTAATTTTTCACACAAAAGTCAGAGTCCATTTGACACGCTAAATATTGACCATCTTTATCAAAGCAGACATGCTTATTCTTTGGCCCGATCCCTTTCTCCATGTAAAATTTCGCGATGTTCGGGCCATAATTGCAGCCTCTGGAGCGACCAGAAAAACTGACAAAAATTAAGTATTTGGTCCATTTCATCCCCTAAATAATAACCGATCTTTACCAAAAACAATATGGGACTTCATTGGTCAGAGCCCATCTTACATGCAAAATTTCGTGAAGATTGGTCCATAACTGTGGCCTGTATCGTGTTTACAAATTATAATGAACAGACGGACGGACACACATGTCTATATCGAGTCAGCTAGTCGAGATATGACGATCGGTATACTTAAATTTGGGTCTAGGACCAATATTTCGCGGCGTTACAAACTCTTGGGGCTGCACAAAGCTATAACACCCTGACAACATAGTTGTGTAGGGTGTAATTACAGATAATTTCAAATAGTAATGTGATTTACCCGATTTGGTGACATTCCCGGCACCAATTCATTACGTCTTTCCTTCCATTCCTCCCCTCTTAAGAAGAACGGATTGTTGCCAACAATTGCATCGGATTTTTCATCAATCTGTTATATTGGAAATTAAAATTCATTTAATTTGAAATTATTTCAGAGTCTTTATAACACTTACCGTATCGCTAAGGGCGTTGTCATGAAAATGTTTAAAATCATTGACATGAATTCGATGCACAAGATCAGGATCCAATATAAACAGCTGTGGTTCTCTGCCATTGTAGACACCAACGAATTTATTTGTGCTGCGGTATTGTCTAAAGAAAGGAATAGAATAATTTCATTAAATTTGCTTATGGAAATTAGCGAATATAGACAACGTTAAAAAATTTAAATGGTTTTTATGGAAATATGTTCCCAATATGAATTGAACATTAAAATACCTTAAATTCATCGGAAGTCCTATATACAGGTTGAGATGAAAAACTACAACCAACTTCGGACTGCTGTCATTTCTAAGCCACTCGTCCGACAGCTGTTAAAATTATTCCAGTGTTTACCATCTTACAAAAGCATTTTGGTGAGAATTTTCCAGAAAAAGTTATTCGTGATGGAATTCAAGCGTTATAGTAAGATTTCTTTATATTTGGCTAGAAAACCAAAGTGTCTATCTTTAGAGCTCTCAATCATTTAAATTTGCATAAATCTTTTGTGCCTCGTACCATCGCTAGTTACCGTGATACTGGTAGCGTAGCCCCCCCTTCAAGGAAGTGGACGGAAGAAAACAGCAACATCAGCAGAAATGGTTCGAAAAGTAAAGAAGCGACTGAACGAAACCCACGTTGCAGTGGCCGAAAAATTACTCCTGAGCTGAACATATCGCAATAATGCATTCGGCAAATACTGAAAAATGAGCTCGGGGTAAAGCCATTGAAATTCCAAAAAGTGCAAGAACTTACACCGCAACAGAAAGAAAATAGACTCAAAAGAGCTAAAGAGTTGCTTCGCTTGGCCGAGTGTAGTGAACTGCCGAATTTGGTTTTCCCCGATGAGAAAACATTCGCTTTCCAGCAGTTTGTAAACAAACAAAATGATCGTATTTACTTGCTAAAGAAGTCAGATGAAAATACATCTTCGGTTAGCCACCAGAACTCAAGCGGCGGCCATGACGATGATGTGGACCGCCATAACAGCCGATGATTGCTCTCCGCTCGTATTAATCGACCGTAGCATCACAATAAATGCCAAATATTATCACGAAAATATTCTGGAGGATATATTAAAGCCTTGGGCACGCAAACATTTTGGCCGCAAACCTTGGACATTCCAACAGGACTCCGTACCATCGCATTCAGCACGCGCTATCCAAGAATGGTTATTCGGTAGCGCGTGTCTGGGGTATCTTCATTGTGTCTGGGGTATTTTGGAATGCAAGGTTGACACTAAAAAATACCAAAGTGCCGATCACCTCAATAAAGCGCTTCGCCGGGAATGGACCAAAATATCGCAGAGCAACTTTCGGCAGCGTGTGACGGTTTCATTAGACGTTTGAAGGCCATAATTCGTGCCAAGGGTGACCAATTCGAGACTTATTCCAAAATTTTATGATATTTCCGATTTTTTTAGCTTTCAGTCAATAAAATTAAAAAAATAATATTATGACGTTTGTTGCAGTTTTTTTATCTCGCCCTGTACAAGTCATGTGAAAATATGAATCTACATTAAACATTTTCCAGTCAATTGAACATTGGGAATTTGGTGCACCATTGTACAACCGGACGAAACTATATATGGAAGTGTAGCCCCTATAAAACGGTACCCCCGAATATTAGGTATTTCGGGGATTTTGAATACGTTTTCCAACCGAGTTGGCTGTAATTTGGTATTTTAATTTCTAATTGTATAACATATCTCCGTACCAAAAATTATTAATATTGGGTCAATTTTCAGGGTATCCTCCATATGAACCCCAGTACCCCCAGTACTTAGTATTCTAGAGATTTCGGATGCGTTTTCCAACCGAAATGTCTGTAACTTGATATTTTGTATTCTCATTTGCTGTAAAATCTCACCACCAAACAATTGTAAGATTGGTCTCCGTTTTATTATAGCTCCAGATAACGGTAGCCCCACTATAAAATATTTTGAGAATTTCATCTTTTTCTCAAGTATTTTCGGTATGTTCAAGGTATTATCATAGCATGATTTTTCTCCTAGAACCCCCCTTAATTTTAGATATTTTAATTGTCGTCCTCATGGTGGAGGGTATGAAAAATTCGACGGGGCCGAACTTAGCATCGTTTTTCCTTATTAAACCCTACATAACTATGTTGTCAGGGTTTTAAAGCTTTGTGCAGCCCCAAGAGATTATAACGCCCCGAAGACCACTCTTTAAGTATACCGGTCGTATCTCGAGTAGCTTTGTCGATATAGACATGTATGTCCGTCCGTCCATTATAATTTGTAGGCCACAATTATGGACATGGGTTATGGTAACCCCTATTGTTTTTGGAAATGAAATACTTAATTTTCGCCAATTTTGGGATCAGACCAAAGTATAAGCGTGGCTGTTTTTATAAAGATCGGCCAAGATTTAGCGTAAATTGATACCAATTATATGGCTGTATGTACTCGGATAAGGGAGTTATACGTAAATAATTAAGGTGGTCTTCGTATTCTGATATTGTTTAGTATTACCATTAATATACTAGGGGCGGAAATATAAAACAACAACATTTCCCAGACATCAGCGAGGAAATGTTGGGAAATGGGGAAAATGATCTGACCAACAAATTCGAATGGATGTCACGATGATGAACGGTCAAATGGAACTGTTGGCAAATATGACATACAGATGAATTATTGTGGGGGTGATGTTATGCAATATGAACCCTTTTTTTAGGACACTTTCAACCAAGTGAGAAACCAAAATATCAAATTATAGTCAAATCGATTTCACAATTTTGGCTGTTCCATGTTAAGGGAGTTAAGCATATATCGATGACCGATATAGCCCACCTTCGAAGCTGTCCGCAACGCACACAAAAGACATCATCTCTAATTTTCACCACTCCATCTCAATCCCTTTGGAATATTGCGTGATTATAGATATATACCATCTAACTCGATTTTTCCACAAACAACACCAATACGTTGAGGATGGAGAGGCTTCGCAAAAAACAGAGTTGAAAAATTGATTTAAAAATCCGCATATTTTTAAGTGGTTATTTATACTCTTTCGAGTCGAGCTTGATGATCTAAGTTTTTGCAATGAAAAGGAAAGCCAGGAGAAGAACCTACGTACCCACCATTATTCGATGCGTTTCGCCGTTGGTTAAGCGGCTCATCGGGCATATTGGGCTATGTGGCTTAAATTCGAATAGCTTAAATTCGTATAGTAAAATAAAAAACTTATAAACCGCACTACTGTACCTGTAAACTTCATCATAATCGTAGACAACGTTGCGTTTTTGGGTAAACAACGATGGGAATGTTCCAATTCCTGGATATGATTTAGCCTCCGGAACACCACGTTTCTTCCAACTGCCTAAATTCCATATTAGAAATATATAAAAGACTCCAAGAGCTCCAACAAATAGACTTAAAGTCACGAGCCACGAATCCATAATCATTCGGTGAATTACTTTTTCTTTTATTTCAACGTAAATAAATTACAAAGCGCACATGACCGCACGCAATTACGATTACGCGAATGTGAAATAAAGCTTTCACTAAATTAAGCGACCGGCAGCCTTAAACACTTTGTATGAACTGATATCTGCACTCGGAATTTATAGATCTATTTAAACACTATTCACATCTGTTTACTGGGCGGGGCAGAGTTGACACTTAGATTTGATTTCCCTATCTTGTTATTATTATCATCATCAATTGTTATTGAATGACATGTAGTGGACACAAACGTTTCTTATCTCCCATACGATGTATATGGGGTATTCCGTTATCAGTGTGAAAATGATCAATACGAGGGCTACACTATATTTTTCTGAACTAATAATTCATTATGGTCATGCCACTTCCTGCGAGTTAGAAACATCCAATTTGACAACAGCTCCAAAAAATGTTTGTATCGATTGGTGCAAGAAAATATTTTAAAGCATACGATAGTCACAGGATCCATACGTTTGAGTCGGAGACAGAAATCGTCAGACAAATAATGGCCTTCAAACGATTTTTTTGCGAAAATTAAATCAAATGAAGGGGCCCACCTGGAAAAAATAGCGATCAAAGATCCGAGTTAATGTACTAATTGTAGTTGCACTGTGTGAGATATAGTATAAATTATTTCTATGGAATATCCCATAAAAATTTATTACCAAAAATGTCATATGCAATACTGACATAAAATTTCATTGTGAAAACTCTAAAGTCAAATATAAACAAACAAATCTATAATTAACTAATTTAATTCAAATTCAAGAGTATCAACACTTGATATGTATTACCGGTGAATATTTGTCATAAAAATTGAACAATAAAATTTTGTTACCAACACAGGGTATATTAAATAGGGTAAGGAGATTAGGTTATAATATATTTTAAATGGGGTGCATATTTATAAATTGTACAAGTGGCAATTAGTAAATATTTTATTTATATTGTGAAATAAGTTGTCAGAATTAATATCTCAATTACAGTGATCTCCCTTTTAGGGAGACTCGTAACAAGAAGTGTTACATATTAGAAATTACCCGGTATTTCGGTTGATGTAAATTTTTAAACTTTTATTTATCATTAAGAATCAATAAGGAAAGTTCAAAAGTCGGACGGGACCGATGATACCCTTCACTACTTTGGATACATACTGCTAATATAGAGCAGACATATCATATTTGGAGAATCATTGAGATGGAATTGGGCGAAATTAAATGTGTGAAGTACATAGATATTTGAACCAATATAAAAAAAATCCCCATACACCATTTGTATGAAATCGAGCTAAATTATGTATGGGTGCTATATGTAGATATGGACCTAATGGAGCAACCGTTGCATACACCATTTGATTTTTGCAACTTTAATACACATCACTCTAAACTCAATTTTATACCCTTTGCCAAAAAGCAATATTTTATCTCAATCGAATAAATATTGGGAGTTTGGAGTCCATTTACATAAAATCCGACGAAACTATACATGGGAGCTATGTCTAATTCTGAACCGATTTCAACAAAACTTCGCATACATCAGTACCTATTTACATAAAATAGGACGAAAATATATATGGGAGCTATATCTAAATCTGAACCGATTTCAACGAAACTGCGCATACATCAACTTGGACCTAAAAAATTTAGATAAAATCGGACGAAAATATATATGGGGGTCCTTAGACATATTTTATCCAATTCAGATCATAAGTGCGACCTGGACTTTGTTTACAATTTAACATGAACAGATACCCGGACATGCATAAATCGGCTCAGAAAGTGGTTCTATGCATATCCTTAGATATGGTATTTACCGGGTAAATACCCATTTGCGGGTATTTATTTGGGTATTTACTATATTGAATCGGTAATACAACATCTTACACCCTATTTCCGGGTTTCTGTTATCAAATCGATTTAGAATGGATAGTTTTACGAAACTTTAACGACGTGGATAAATGCCCGAGTTTTTACCCAAATTGGGTATAAACTCATTAAACTTTGCATACATGTTTTTAATGTCAAAACAAATATAGAAATCCAAAATGGGGTCCCTGGGTCCAAGTTTTTATATAGCCTTCATATAACACACATTTTACAACCAAATTGGCTGTAATTTGGCACAGAGTGTTCTTTTTGAGTACCAAATGTCCATGTATGTAGGTCCACGTTTACTGGTAGCCCCATACAAAGGTACCCCTATTTTGAGTATTTACCGAAAAATTGGGTATAAACTCATTAACTGCCGAACAACTTGACATATGCGGCCAAAATTTTGCATACATGTTTCTAATGTCAAAGCAATTATAGAAATCCAAAATGGGGTCCCTGGGTCTAAGTTTTGTATAGCCCCCATATAACCGTATCTCCCGATTTATGGTATTTTCTGTCTATTAGACACATTATTTGATTAAATTGGCTGTAATTTGGCACAGAGTGTTCTCTTTGGGTACAAAATGCGCATGCAAAAATTTATATATATATAAGTCCATGTGGTAACTCCCATACAAAGGTACCCCTATTTTGAGTATTTACCCAAAAATTGGGTATAAACTCATTAATTGCCGAACCACTTGACATAGGCGGCCAACATTTTGCATACATGTTTTTAATGTCAAAGCAGCTGTTTCCATTAATCAATTTAGAAATTTCGTATGCTTTACTCAAATCCATATACAATTTATGGTAGCAAGAGGGTCAATAATGGCATGGGTGTTTTCCTTATATTTACGAGATTTTTGATATAATGCATAGGATTGTTTATACACATGTATTGGAAAGCGATACAGTTCCCTTACTGAAGAAAATATACCCTTTGACTGGGTGTCTGAGCATGAAAATATCCTCCAAACATACATCGAAAAATGTCAAAGATTGGTTGCATGAGTCAAAAATCAGGGTTTTTAATGGCCAACACAATCATCAGATCTTTACCCTATAGAAAAATCTTTGGAGTATCATAGACAGAAAAATCGAAAGATTTTCCCAAATACAAAGGTTCTCAAAGGCTCAGGATGGAAGGAATAGAACACCCATGGATAAAATTGAGCATTTTATTGGTATAAGGTGTACTGCCGTAATAAAAAATAATTATTATGATGTCGATTACTGGCAAAATTTACATATTTATGAGAAAAAAATCAAAAAGTTACTTTAGCTTTAATAATAAATTTTGCATAAATAAATTTTTCATTTAAAATAAATTTTGCATTTATATTTTTTTATATTTTTTAATGAATAAATTACCTATTTATTTCTGAAAAAAAACTTTCACTATAAGTTTATTTTTAAAAAAGTTAGAGTTCATCTATTCAGTTTGCAATTTTAGTAGATTTAGTTTTGACCACCAGTGTAAGAGCACTATCCTGAAACTTGGTTTAACTTTTTGGTACGGATATGTGTTTTTCATTATCAAATTTCACTTTTAGTTACAAAAGAAAAGATTTTTGTAAACAGGATATTTATTTGTAAAAAATTATCTCTAATTTGGATATATACAGCAAATTTTCTATTTTAATCAAATTTCGCACTATTACTAAATAAATTGAACCAAATATGCAAGTTTCATCCAATTCGGATCATATATGCGACCTGAATTTTGTATACAATTTAAGATGGGCAGAAAGACGGACGGCCTAACGGACATGCATAAATCGACTCAGAAAGTGTTTTGATGTATATTGTCATAACTAACCCTGGGTCTATCTCGTTTCCTTTTGCCTGTGATGTGATGGTGATGGGAATAACATTATAGCACCCAATATTATTCCACAAAGTATTAACTTAGAATAATTATCAACAACATTTTAAACCAATAGGACTCTACCGTCAAAAACGAATACTAAACTACTATAGCAACCACATTTCTTCAGCACAATTTTCTGTTACAACAGTTATTGCTGAATAGCACAGCCCACAACCACACAAAAAAGTGATGCATACTTTAAGGGTTATATAAAAACTGTATATTTAATTTGTTATTCCGTTTGCCACATCTTGCATATTTCGTTGAGGACCCCATAGGAATATATATTCATGATCATAATAAAATACTATATCAATTTTACCATGTCCGTTTGTCTGCCCTCCTGTTTAATAGAGAATTTTTGTGCATGTTTTGGGTATTGGAAATGGGGTTTTGGAGGCTGGAATGGTTTTACATAAACTCCATATAAAGATAGACTTGTAGCAGCATTTTCCAACGGAAAACACTCAAAATTGGGCATTTCGGTGTAGTGGAGGCTGGTGTATATCTGAACAGAAAATTATCATTACAAATCGAAGTTTTGACATAGCCCCAAAATAAGGTCCCTTCTACTTGTCGCTATGTTGAGGGAGTTTGACCGTATGTTACAACCAAAACGGCTGTAATTTGACATTCCAGGTTTTGGTATATAAAATACGACTCCCAAAATTGTATATATATTTCAATGTTAGTAAATACATATAGAGCTCTCGCTTATTATACCCTCCACCAAAAGGTGGAATGTATATTAAATTTGTCATTCCATTTGCAAGGTCTCGATTTAAGCATGTCCGTCTTTTGAAATCCCAATAGAAATCGCCATTTTTTTTATTTGAATTTTGCCTTGTAGTGATCGACCCTTTCGAGTCGAGCTTAATGATCTAAGTTTTGCAATGAAAAGGAAAGCCAGGAGAAGAACCTACGTACCCACCATTATGCGACGCGTTTCGCCGTCAGTTAAGCGGCTCATCAGGCATATTGGGCTATGTGGCTTTACAAAGGTCGTATGTTGATAACTTGTATTTATTCCGCCCTGATGCGAAACTTGCATATGCAATTTAAATTCAAATTTTGAGAAAATTCGACATTTGTCTTCATTCTAGAAACGGTAGCGATGGATAGTTAATCCACACACCTACAATTTAAGATAGAGCTCTGAAATTTTGCACATAGATTTATACTACTACTAATACGTTTGGTATTGCAAATG